CCTTCAATCCGCAAGGATTTTATCCCGACTTTTCCGGCGGTTTCCCGGGACTACCCCTGAGCATGCTCAATCTTCTGCCGCCGGCAGAGCGACACCATGCAGCGGCTGCCATGCACCATCTGGGAATGACAATGGATGAGGACTGCAAGTCGGTGGCCTCTAAGCAGTCCTCCTCCATGGACGACGATTTTGCGGGACAAGGGATTCCTCTCTCATTGGAGCAACGGCGAGAGATGGCAGCGACGGGACCCCCCTTGACGCAACTAAATGGAGTTGCTGGGCAGGATTGAAACATGTGGCGGGATTGGGCAACTGGGGCTGCCAATCCAATATACTTCCCGCAGTTCGAGCTCGACCAGGAGCAGAATCCGGCAGGCCCAGGTCCTCCAACGACCCTTCGACACCCGCGATCCGCCCTGCCCCACCTGGGGTGTCGCGATCTCAGCTTTAAACCCGGCCACCTCTTTATGGCCAGGCGCAAGATGAAACGCTATCGGGCCAAGCGCCAGCTGCAGCTGCAGACCCAGATGCAGGGCTCCAATCCCCACCAGCCAACGACTGCGACATGTCCTGCCGCCCACGCGTTGCCACCTCTGCGGACTTAAAAACTGTGAACAGAAACGATATGCAATATGTGTAACCTTAACCCACTATTTAGTTTCATTTGTAGCCCTAAATACAATATTTTATTGGCGAGGATTCCCTATTTATTTGGTTTAAGCAAAGGATACGATTTGCTGGCGCTTTTAGTTCCTATTCCCTACACCCAATTACCTATTACCGATACCCGATTGTATGATAATGTATTTATTGATGATATTATTTCGAGATTTGCAATTAATTTGCCATTAAGTAATCGAATACGACAAAGCTTACAAAGCATTTGAGGCAATACAGTTACAATTTCTGCTAAATATTGTACTATTATAATTATTATGTTATTTTTTAAGTATTAAATGGAATATAATCAAAATTGTATGCGAAGTTTAAGAGAGTCTTGTAAATACATATGTAGAAGTCACCAAACAACAGCATTAGATGGGCTAACCCCGGGGACTGTGGAGCATCCGCAGGTTCCACAGTTACTATCTGCTGCCACAGCCCCCTCAGTTCTCAGACGTATATTGTAATACATAGTTTGTAGTTAGTAGTATTGATAATATCGATCTATCAATAGCCGATGACCGATGACTGTACCAAAATTTTGAATGTTATTTTATAAAAAAAAAGGCGTAGTCCTTTGTAGTAGTAAGTGTTCTAGTAGGCATTTATATTTGTAAAGCAGGCATTTGCACCTCTTCCCATATCTTATATTTGTGCACATCCTGAGCCCTTCATATTCCCAAATCAGCGCACCGTTTCCCTCCACACTCAATGGCTAATGCAGACAAATATATACATACAGATGAATGTACTTGTAGACACCGCTTTGTAAATCGAAGGCATACATCCCCCGCGCAGATCTATCAGTTTTGTAATCTAATTTTTAACATGTAGTGTTGACAATTTATAAGCACAAGAACACACACATAATATTAAATATAATAACACACAAGAACGTACATATTTAAGTAAAAAGAAAGAAAAAAATTGAAGTGTATGCATTACAATAAATAGTAAAAGTTATTAAATAAAAGGTTAAATAAGTGTTTCCTTCTATCATATGGCTAATGGGAAGGAATATTCTAATAAATATTTTCTGAGTGGAAAATAATGCATTATTATAAAAGCCCCATTTACTTCCAAATTAAATATATTTTTAAATCCGGTACTCGAAGAGTAAATAGGGTATATTGTATTTGTGGAGAAAAAATGTAACACACTCAAGAAAGCGTTTCCGACCAAACAAAGAATATATATTCTTGATCAGCATTAATAGCCGAGTCGATATAGCCATGTCTAAAAACGCCAGCACGCTCCCCCAGCTCGCCCCCCTCCTCTAGAGACACACACTGCACGAGGCTGAGTGGGGAATGAGAGAATGTGCAAGAAATAAAAAAAGCTGCTGGACGGGGTGGGTGGAGCCACTGTAAATCAATGTTCTTCATTCTGGCTATAATAATGATCCAATCTAATCCCAATTCGGTGATCTGATAGATATGGGGATTCCCTACGGAATTGCGTTCTTAGATTTATATTTTCTTTAAAATTGTTGATACAGCAGACTTTCGCTCTTTATGGAGTCGGAAGGGGGCGGGGAGAAACAAAACAAACAGTTTCAGTTTGATATCACATGAGTCTTCAGACAAATTTTGGTAACTCCAGACAAAAATGGCTACATCAACTCATCTATTAATGCTGATCAAGAATATATACACATGTATATACTTAATAGGACGGCAACGTTGCCTTCTATGCGTTAAGCACATTGCTCCGACCACCATTAACATATATCCTATTTACTCTTCGAGCACCGGGTATAAAATTGAATTTGAGCGCTTTTTCCAAAATCCCATTTCAACTTTCCAAAATAGTTTTTCAGTATTTTAATCGTAGAATTGTTTTGTGCCAACTATCAATAGCTATCGATTTACTGTACATAACTAGAGACCTCTGTTTTTATTATTAAAATACATCGCAGACGCCATCTGTTCCTGAAAGAGGCAAACTAAGGGGCGCAATCAGCAGCGCCAGAGGTCGCCAGGCTGTGCAGTAAAATTATGTAAGATTACGTGTAGAGTCGACGCATAGTCGGACCAAAGAGTTCCATAGCATTTATCTCTTATCTACTATCCTTTGGCGCGCAACTGTTAATTTTAAATATTTTATATTAGAAAATTTTCACTATGTTCAGCAAAGAGCAGGCAAAGAATCAAATTCAATTAAAAATCAGTCCCGAATTCTCAATTTCCGTCTACAGTCGGGTTGAATGAGTGCAGAAGTGCACACATTTGGCAACATAAATATTCTACCACTGACCTGGACCACTTTTCAATCTTTTTATGGCTTTTGAACATTTAACTCGTAATCGACACAACTCCGTGTCGATACCTTCCACGGCACAAATTGTCGATATGAATGCAACCGACTGACACAAAGCAAGTGAAGGGCAAGGCCAATAATCCAAGCTCCGATGCACTGATAACCGACCCTATTGCAAAATGGAAAACAAAGAGCAAATGGAACCAACAACCTGGCCATGTCGGGCATTCCCACACAAACCCATCGCCAGAGCAAAGGCTGCAATTAAATCTAGTGGTGCCCCACTGCACAATAGGCAGGCTATACGAATTTTCATTGCAAAAGTCCAATCGACGTCCAATCGATTCCCAATGAAATTACGCTTCAGGGTGTAATCGTTGAATGGCGGATAAAGCACCGTCGTTTCCTTTACGTCCGCGTCTAGCCGAAACCGGCATCAGTCAGAACTTTATCTCAACGTTTGCATGCAAATGCTCGGTTATGCATTTAATTTCTGCTACCAGATATCTCAGGGTAGAGATCGGTTCTGCGCTAAGCCATTGAACCCGCGAGGTAGTCAACGGCTCATTAACTTTCATGCGACAGGGAATCGGACGGCCGCGCCGTTTTTGACCAAAGGGATGTCGATATTTGTACTACTAGCCATTGCGTCACGTTGCGCTTGTCTGAGCAGAGTTCGATTATGGCCTGATACTAAGTGACTAAGGCGACACAAACTGACCAACTACACTACTGATTGTGCTACAAGGGCTTGCAATTTACAACCGATGTGGTGAGTAGAAAACATTGCATCCTACAATATTTCAGTGATTTCTGTTTTTCTGAATTCTCAGCTCACAATCGACACAACCTATTTCCGTTCGTCACCCCCAACCAAGACGGTCACATAGGCAAATGGCGAGCAGTACAAGACAAGGAACATATGCATCAGCGCTGAGGCTCTGATCTAAAAATACTAAGCTAAGCCTTCGGTGAAAATGTTCCCCAGAGCAGAGACATCTTGCCACACAGCTGGAGGTAGCACAAGAGTCCGATTTTCGTGCCTTTGTCTCTCTCTCTCTTTCTTCTTTTTTCTTACAATCACTCTCTCTCTCTCTCTCTCTCTCTCTCTCTCACACATTCTATGTCTCTCTCTGTTTCTGTGTTGGCGCATGATGGGATTATACAAGGAGGTGTGAGGAGGCAAAGCGGCGCCTCTAAGAATGCTGTTAATAAATGCGAAAAATGCATCACACAGAAGAAAGCGTTTCCGACCCCACTCAGTATATATGTATATATTTTTGATCAGCATCAAAAGCCGAGTCGATATAGCCATGTCTGTCCGTCCGTCCTGTTGAGCGCCTGGATCTCAGAGACTGTAAAAGCGAGAACCACCAAATTTTGCATCCAGACGGCTGTATGCTTAAAGGTCGAAAATCTGCTGTATACACATTTTTACAGATAAGAAAAATCTAAAAACGCAGCTCCGTAGGGAATGACCAGATCATCTATCACCTATCAGATCACCGAATTGGGATTGGATTAAATCATTATTATAGTCAGAATAAGGAAATTAATTTGCAGTGGCTACCCCCACCCCGTCAGGCAGCTTTTTTAATTTTTTGCACATTCTCTCATTCCACAATCTGATTCGTGTTGGCGGATGAAGTGATGTAAATGACATATGTAGAAAAAGTGCAAAAAAGAAAATTTAAAAAAAAACCTTTAAGGTACAGATGTACCACTGAGAAGAGTCTCACACGTCGCTTCTCGTTTTTTTTTTATATAATTTATTACTTGAAAGTAGTTGCTATATAATAGATATTTTTTGCTTAGACTCTTAATTCTAAAATAAATTGTAATTTTCTTGCTGCAAAAACTGTAAAGTCAGTTTTTCTGAGCACAGGGGCTCATGTTTGTTAATAAATTCGTCTGTACGCAACCTTTCAAGTCGACAAAACACGCACTGAACGCTAGGGGCGTGAAAACGAAACGATTTGGCAGCCGACGAGACCACTTTGTATAATTCCGTCATGTATGTGCGCGTGCGCTATTTTAAATTCAAGTTTAACGACTCGGCGCGACCACTTCGCGTTCTGTTGTCGTTCGAGTCAGTTGGGTTTTTTCGTATCTGTTGGATATTGGCGCCCGTGGCAGCTTGCTCCACGCTGCGCGTATCTGTGAATCTGTATCTGAGTGTCTAAGCAAGATAGTTTGTTTAGTGAATGAAAATTAGCAGTATCCGACGCTTGCACTTTGGCTGAGTGAAATATCTAAATCCAACTGCAGAGCACGTCAAATTATCTCGACAACACCAACGAAATTAAAAATAAAAAATACAAAAATACAATAAAATAAGATATTCCAATCGCGTACGCTCCTCAACCAGAAATAATAATAGATAGGAAAAAAACAGCAACAATATATGTAAATGCGCAAAGAAAATTAAAAAGAATCGAGAAATATCTGTTGTTTATTTATCTTGTGTACCAAACAGCTGGTGTTGCAACAAAAGCCACAGAGCGACGATTATCTAGAGTGTTGAATAAATTTTGGTCAGCCGCCAGCAACGACGACAGCAGCTATAAAATTCTCTCCAAGAGGCGCTAAATTTGTTTTTTCTGGACCCCTCTTCAGGAGCCCGCACCCTTAGCAGGTCAGTTCATTTCATTCTCATTGGCATCGCTATTTTGCTGGGAATATTGTTTTTGTTTGTTTGTAAATAATGTTGGAATTTATTAGCTGCCTTTGCTTTTGCCTTTGCATACTCTTGTTATGGGTGTAGACTTTGGATGAAAACGTAGACTGATAAGTGAAAAGAGCAATGAATGACATCCACGGCTGGAATTTGAGTTCAACAGTACTGCTCGCTAGAGGTTGGGGAACCTCATCTGTGAAGGTATGGATGCACAACAGCCTTGAGGGGAAATTAATCATTTGATGGCTTTATAATTAATGCAACAGGTAATCGCCAAACAAAGCTTGAAGCACTACCACATCAGATCTAGTCCAAAGCCTGCCCCCTTGTGTGAGTTCCCTGCTCCAATTATATACATTTCAGTGGGGCCAGTGGGGTCTTTTAACGGACAGCTTCTGCTTCCCCAGCCCGGCCGTAAACTAGTTGACTTGAACACTTTCCTTGCAAATTTGCTCGGTCCCCAGAAAAAAGCGAATAATTCGCTTGTGGGAAAAATCAATATAAACTCACGCGACCAAGCAGCCCCAAGTCTTATCCTCACCAACCGCTGGCCAAGGGAGGCCTCAAGTGAAACGGAAAACACATATAAACTTTGTTTTAAATAAAGGAAGAAAAGGCAGGGAATTGCAGAAAAGAGCCTGCATCACCAAGGAACGATTTCTGAGTCCTGATCGGGTGCTGTCGGACTGTGCAAACCTTCGGAGACACCTTTCGATCTGTTTGGCGAGAGTCATTGGCATCTAGCGAAATAGGGAAATCAGCAACAAATTTTCCTTGCTATATTTTCGTTTGGGACTTCAACCTTTGGCTGTCAACAAAAACAACAGAGTAAAACAGAGACAGCGTGAGAGAAGGATAGAAGGACCTGCGCAGGCGCAGACTCAAGTTCGCTCTCCATTTTAAATTTTTGCTCTCGCGTTTGTTTCGGCCAAGATGCGAAGTTTCCCTCTGGCTGCTACTGTTCCATTGTTAATGCTGCAATTTTGGCAACGAATTGTTATGCTTGTATGTATATCTGCGTATTGCACTGTTTCTAACCTACCACTGCCTTTCCAAAGTGCCTCTTTCCATGGCATAGGCGGAAGCAAATATTCAAATTTCAGCAGAAGTAAACCGTCAAAAAAAAAACTGACATGGAAAACGAGTTTTAAATTTCGGAGTACAGCACACTGGACTCGCAATCGCTGGTTCCTCTAGCCGAGACTAGGGAGCATCCGGCATGCGGCATGTGGCAGGGACATGACATAAGTGCATTTTTACTTTAATTGCAATTGTCAGCTTTAACTTTGCATTGATCCACTTTTATGTTAGTGAAAGTTTGTGCTTGGATAATGGTAGAGGATCTCGGCACTTGACACTGGTAGGGGATCGGTCCATTTCTTTGGTTCTGCGCCTGTAGCTATCATTAAGCGTTTCACCCATTTCCATCTCCAATAGCCTACTGCAAGTGGGTCACAAAGAAATAATATTCTAGGCCATCATCTAGAGCGGAAGCGTATATCACATGGAAAGAGAGAGAGAGAGAGTGGCTTGGGCAAACAAGGAAAAGTGAAATGGAAAAGCTTTTCCTTATCCGTTCTGGTGTACCTGCAGATTGGGTAACGTCAGTGAGGATGTCGACTAGCCAACCACAAACAATTGCTATTAATCTGTAATTTTTCTCATTGTCTATATTATGACTAATTGTCTAATATGCCAATATGTCGTTCCCTTCCCTGCTGTTATATGTACCCCAATGTGTACATTCTGTTTTTACCTGTGTATCGTCGTTGTTCCTCCTATTCCTATTCCTTTCAAATATCCAAACCTAGCCCTCCGCGTCTCTGTCTGTTTCAGTCTAAGGTGCATCGAACCCCCTATATCAATCATTCAGCGAATTAAGCGAAAATCATTTAATCGTTCTCTTGTTTAATGAAAACTGCAGTCACATGAGAAAAGGTTGGAGGAGGAGGTGGGAGAACTGGAAGCCCCAACGTGTTTGCCGCAAATGTCTCATGAAAATTGTGACAATGGGGCCAGCTACGTACAGTTTTTCAGCATTCAAACATAAAGCACTTTCCCCTTTCATTTTCTCTCATTCAAGATCTGGAGAGACGGCAAAGATGGGAAGAGCAAACAGGTATCATCTTCAGTGATACCAGAGCATCCTTCAACAATAAATACTATGGACAGAATAATCAATACCGTCTCATCGATCCATTGAACATCACCACATCGGGACCCAGATTAGTTTCTCCTTATCTCTTATGGTCATGCAATGGGTGCTCAATCATATCCTCTCACTCTCACTTACTGACATAGTGCCAGTCCCTGTTAAGGAAAATCTTTCATACATTTCTCCTCGCCAGAACTGTGTGTGTTGTCGCAAGCCTTTTGTTTGTCTAGGAAGGAGTTCCTAGCGCTATGCCTTCGGCGTGTCCACATTACATAACACAGGCATATGTGTAAATACTGTATGTTTATCTGACCTGTATCTGGTGCTAACTGCAATTCTCATCCCACAGAGCATCTCACGTGTGACATCGCTCTGCTTATATCTAATGTCTAACCAAAATGATTAAGGGTGGACTGTTTTTAATTTGGAATTAATTGATTTACTTCCGACTAATTCGTTTTTTCACATGGATCTATTTAGCCCTGAATATCCATTTAATCGATTCAGAAACTTTTGCTTCCATCGGGTTTAAATTACGTCAGTCCCCCAATTCCGGTGAAAGGCACGTATAAAATGTAAATACACTAAGAAGCACCAATCACGGGAAATAAGATCGACTAGTGACTAAAAACCATATATTCGCTGGAAGGCACAAGCTTCCTCGTAAGAACCTGTAATTGCCGGCAAGCTTCATCAGCCTGGGGAGACCCGACAGCAACGCTAGCGATGAAACCGTCCCGTTCTGGCTTATTAATGATTTATTAATACTCGTCCAAAGTCAAAGGCAAATCAAGCTTCGACTTCGATATAAATTTTGTATTGCATTAGTTCATTAATTTGAGGGGATAGACTACGGAATAGGCCTGGGAGTGTTTACTAATTGTTTTTCCATCCTATCCCATTATCTCCTGAAGCTGATATCGTGAATAACTCACGTTTAAATTTCCATCTTTAATCTGTTTTTAATTTTGCATCAAAATTAGTTTGCTCTAAGCTGCTGCCTGAATAGCCTGAATAGAGCATGGCAGGGATCATACTACATTATGTCGTGAGGGAGGTAGAAGAGTTGGCTAGTATGGTTGCCAAGTAAATATTAGCTACTCAACTTCCAGTAAATTTTAAAAGCTAATAACAAATGTAGTGATGAGGATTGGGGGAGACATTCCAAGTTGGGTTTCAAGGGTACTCACTCGCAGTCGAACATCTGACATATCCAATACAACTACACGAAATGACTCAGCGCGAGGGGGAACGCAGATGCACCTTTAGAGAAGGCACCCACATGTCTGTGCAAATCATGCTAATTAAAGACCGTTTACGGGATAATTACGGAGCAGACATCAGACAGCGGCGGCTGTCACTCTTTAAATAACCGTTTAGTCAAGACGAGCCTCCAATGAAACGAAAGTAAAAACGCTTAAAGTAGAGAAAACAGTCATAAATAAGAACCAACATTAAACACTCTACTCCCGATATGGGGAGAAAGTGACGGATTGGCGAATCGATTCACGGGGGCTTTTGGCATTCGGCGGCAAATGCGGTCAACGCAATCGACTCCAACAGAGCAAACTGATATAGACCCACAGATCAATAAGATCAAATTAATGGAAACAATTTTGGGACAACCAAAGTCGGGGGTCTAGTTTAGTTCGTTTGTTGTTTTGTATTGTGTACGTAAAAACTCCCAATTTGAGCAGACTTAAGCTTAAACCGCCTTCAAAAAAAAGAAAAACCCATTGTTGCTTTTTTGCAAACTACTCGTCATCTCCTCCCAATACCCAATTCTGACACTATCGCCACCATCAGATAGAGAATATAGTCTCTCCCACACCCAACCGTCAAAAGACAGATAAGAACAGCCGAAGCTGGGTGAAAGGCCATTACACAATGAACTTTAGACAGAGGACAGAGAAAACCAAATGAAAATGGGAACGTATGTGCAAGTCCAACGAGAAGGGACGCGCGAGTACCGGGTATACAAATTTTGCAAAGGGAGCCAGGGAATGGGAGGATCAAAGACGCGCACCCACACTCACTTATCGAGTGGTGCAAGTGTAAGGATAATTGTTTTTGGTTAATTTGGTAAAGCCATAGGGTAATAAACAAAAACAAAATAACAAAAATAACAAAATGATTGTCACTTAGAAAAATATACGAGCATTTGCGAAAAAAAAAGAATAAACTGTAAAGCAAACATAAAACATAAATTTTCACTTGCCTTTTACACTCTTCTTTTCCTCATTGCGCTTCTTCTTTTCGCATGTGCCGTGAAGCACTTATTGTCCTCTTCACACGCATGCATACATACATTTGTACGAAAAATAATATACTCTTAACACTTCACTTTCACATATTGCCGCATATTTTCATCGATGATCTGCTTCTAGCCTCGCTGTGCTCCTCCGCAATTGATCTCGCATTTTTTGCCCATTCAATGCTAAACCATTTCACTACACTTCACTAACACACACTTGTTGGTAATTTTCTATGCTTTATCTATGCTTTAGTGATGTCACTTCACATCAATGCACTTACTCCACAGCTGCACGATACTTTTTCCCGTTTAGTTTCCCGAATTTTCCCGATTTTTCCGATTTTTTCGCGGATCGAATCCGCACCGGACCGAACGCGCTGACAAATTTGAAACTACTGGAATGGGGATGAGGAGGTAAACTGCGTAGGTGTTGGTGGCTTAGGCCGCGCGCCCCTACTCACAAATCTAATGCACATATATTGTGACGTGCCGTGACGGGCCTACTGCTCTGTGGGATTTTGTGCTAGCCGACCAAATCAAGTGAAAAGGAGAAAGAATAGGAAAATGTTGAGTTGCTGGAGTGCTGGCATGAATCCAAATCAAAGTAATCTGAAATTCGATTAAAAATATAAAAGGGAGTTAAATTTATGATTTATTTTAAATAAACTATCAATATGTGCCGTTTTTTCTTGATATATATCTATTCTTCTATAAATAGGGTATATTGTATTTGTGCACAAAGTATGTAACACACAGAAGGACGTTTCCTTCTGACCTTTCCGACCCCATAAAGTAAATATATTCTAGATCAGCAACAATAGCCGAGTCGATTGAGCCATGTCTGTCTGTCCGTCCGTCTGTCCGTCCGTCCGTCTTGTTGAGCGCCTGGATCTCAGAGACCATAAAAGCTAGAGCCACAACATTTTTCATCCAGACTCACACTGTTACAAGTGTATTTAAAAAATGAGCCAGGGCGAAAACCTCCCAAATCTACAATTGATTGGATCTGATTGGATTATTATTATAGCCAGAATGAAGAAATTAATTTTCAGTGGCTAAACCCACCTTGTCCAGCAGCATTTGTTGTTCTTTTTACATTCTCTCATTCACACTCTGCTTCTGCTTCACTCGGCCTCTGCCTCTGCCGTCCCTCTGCCTATTCCGACTTTTAACCCACCCCGTCCCCCAGCTTATATTTGTTTTCTTTTTTGTGTGCGGGCGCTGCCTCTGCCGCGAGTCTGCAGTGTGTAGGTCTAGGGAAGGGCGTCGAGGTTCTTTATCGTTCACTCTGGTTTTCTTGTGAGAGCGAGAGAGCAAAGTAACGGCGAAACAACGCGAGACAGCTCTGGCGTTCTTCTTTCCTTGTATGAGTGAATAGGAAAGACAATTGGTGTTGGTGGATTTTGACTCGCTCTCCTACTTGCAAATCGGATGCACATTTTTATTTCAAGCACTTTGACTATTCGTCTCTAGAATTCCGTGCAAGCCGACTAAATCAGTGTAGGGTGATTTCACATTTTTGGTACATTCTCCATGCGCTTTGAAATCTATAGATAAAAAATGTTCGCTCCCTTTGCATTTGACTAATTGTCAGTAAAGAGGGGGGTAGATGAAGAGTGCTGGAGTGCTGGCTTGAATTCAAATTAACGAAATTGTCCCGGAAAAGTTTTCTGTCACGAGATCTCGATCGGGAAATGCTTAGATAAATGTGGAAATTGTAAAGGAAGTTAAAACGAGTAGGGACGTGTGAGAAGCTTCTTACACGTCACAGCTTTTATACGCGGTACATAATACTACATCTGTACCTTAGCGGTTTTTTGTCAAATTTAACATTTTTTCTTCATTTGTCATCTCCAGTACGCTCCTTTAGCTCACCCCCCTTTCCTAGAGCCGCACACTGCACAGTCACGGCAGAGGCAGAGGTTCGGAAGAGGCAGAGGCCGCACACTGCAGAAGCAGAGTGGCAACGAGAGAATGTGAAAAGACAACAAAGTTGTTGTCTATAATATCCCAATTTGGTGATCTGATAGAAAACCCCATCAGTCATACAAAAAATGATGTCTATAGCACAAACACACCTTCATGTCATTGGACGTGGTAGTTGATGTAACAAAAGTACAGAGATCTCTAGCATTCTGCCAAAGTTCGTTGTGTTGAAAGGATATTAGTACCATAATTAGATTGACAGGCGATCATACAGTATATGACGAATTTTGAACGACCTTTGTTTGCCACACACAGGGGGCATTGACTCTCGTCAATTTTATCCCGAATTTGCACAGCTGCTTCGCAATTTTCAGTTCGGTTCCACTTCATTCACTTGATATCGTCTGATATCGTGCTGACAAAATGTATGTATGCGTGTGTGATGTCTAGTGTGATGTTTTGGGCCTGTTCAATTTCTGTGGAATAATTGGAAATTATAACTGCTTTGATGCTCTTCTTGTCAGCAGAGATAGAGAACATCAATTTGTGTGAGCCTAGCAAATTACTTGCCTCACTGTCACAATGGCAAATAAATGTTGGCAGCCTCAACAGATCGATTAAAAGCCATTAATTAAATGTAAACAAGGGCCAAACAATAAATGCCAAATGCATGTGTACGGATTCGTACCTATATTTGATTAATATTTGACTTCATTGCGCTTCATGACGTTAAACAGCGGAGAGTTATAAAAGAGACGTAGCCGCATCGCAACTCCTCTGATAAGAGTTAGTATGGCCAATCGAAATAAAACAAGTAACTGCTTGGCTGTGCAGTCGCATAAGTCGAACCTCATAAAACATTCACTGTACAGAGTTTATCTTAATTATTGGTTGGTGTTTTGTGTACGTACACATACATATGTACTCGCCGCGTCAATCTTTTTAAAAATAAAGTTCGAGTATTGTTTGATTTCTGGCAGATTATCCTTGATAAAAACGCCACCCCCCCCCACCCCCCCCCCCCCCCCCCCCCCCCCCCCCCCTACACCTTGCACCGTGACTCACATATCCCTCACTCACGGTGACGCCCCCATAGTACCGCAGTAGAAAAAAAGACGTGGTTGAAGCAACCAACCATTAAGACTACGTCTGCCCTGTCACCAACACAGGGTGAAGTCTCTGCAGGAGACGCATTTGCATGCTTAACTAAACTGTAAAATGTTCTCGTGAGTCATAGTCATGTTGGTCTTCGGGATCCAGGTTCCCCCCTCCCGGACAAAGCTGTGGAGTCAGCGATAATTGAGGAGACAAACGTCTGGAGAGAGACTGGGAAATGGGGAGCCTCCACCTCCTCCCTATCGGCTCCCTTTTCTGGGAATTGAATGTGTTGTTCTCTTACATTTTTCTTATTATTTTTCCAAAGCCGTTGCGTGTTGAAGTGGAAAGCGATCGGGCCCCTCTTACCATATCGCCGCTTGGTTCTGGGGAAAGATAATATTTATTTTATTTGCGCTCCTCTGTTATTTCTCCCTCTCAAGAAGGTTAATTAGTGTTGATTGTGTGAGTGTCATTTCCAGACAACGAAAAAAGTGTCCCATGGCTCCTGGCTTCTGTTTTTCCCATTTTCCCATACATATGGTATGTATTCATACATATGTACATACATACATACATGTACGATACATCAGAGCATGTTCCCACGAACCTTGCATCTAAAAAAGTCTCGAGATGTTTAATTGAAGAGACTCGTACGTATGTTATACGAGTAGTGCAAACTGTTCTCTTTACCGGATGGAAAGCACACCTGAAACGATTGATTCGTTCAATGTCACATGAAGTCGAGGGAGGGAGTGAGGGAGAACAAGGAAGCGTGGCATCCACACAAGCGAACCAGTCTCCCCACAAGCATAGTTCGAGTGATTGGAGCCGCAGCTAAACTTACTCACCTTGCTTATTAAACGTACAGGACGGGTGACAACACAAGATCAACAATGGAGAAATAGCGAATCGGCGATTCGGAATATGAGAATCAAAACAGAATCAGATATTATTCCGCATTAGAAACGTGAATGCTCAAAATAAAATTGTGAATTAATTATAATGTTTAGTGCAAAATCGCAAAGCGGACACAATGAGGCATGAGCGGCAGACAGAGAGATGGGTTTGAAAAGAGAACAGGGGAGGGGTCAAATGAGACTTCCCTCTGACGATGATTAAATACCACGACGTACTATAAAAATCAATATGGTTTAGCAATCTCATCACGCATATCGGCAGCACGTTGGCACGGTAGCACCAGTTTCTACACGAAGAATGGGCTTTCGAGCTGAGAGGAGTAGGGTGGTATAGGTTGTGGGTGTAACTTACAAGGGGACTGCTCAATAATTACCAAGTGCTAGCCATTCTGACGTGCGTCCGTCCTCCACTTCTAATGCCAGCGATAATGTATCTGTGTGTCTAGTGACTTGTATATATAGTTATTGGTATGCTGGGAGCGCGTTGGTATCACGTTTTGCGGCAAGTGATAACGCACAATTAGCCAAACGAGAAAGCGTGGGTGGGCATGGATGGTAGATATTGCTATAATACATACATACAATACGCAGGATTGGTAGCATTTTTTTTTGCTATTGGAATGCTCGTTCTCTTCTTTTAGTTCTGTTAAATCAATTGCCAGAGGTAATCCATGCCTCTATAGCCAGCCCTCCACCCAAAAAAAAGGTTTAAGGATAATGGCCTTAAACGAAAGGAACACTAATAAGTGATTTATTTTCCAATTACATTTTCAAATGCATTCCCAAAATATGTAGCCCCAAAGTGACACACATCTTATAAAATTTGCATATCGATATACTAAGTGGTATTAAAATACGTTTCCAATAAGGCTGACATTTTCTCTAAATGACTTCATTTTTTTCCATTTGCTTTTATTTGCAGCTTGAGAAACAATTAGCAGAGCCGAAGGAATCTGGAAACTTTGGTGAGTGTTGTGGCAAGCGAACTTGGCCGCAGCGTAGGGGTGGCTGCTGGAAGCTCAGGCGGAAACATAACCCAGTGTTATAGATAGCTATTAAGGCGATGTTGTCACATGTCAGGCTTTTGACAGCATTTTGGTTACATATCCTTCAGATAATACAGTTCCTCTTGAATGTCATTCCGAATTCGGGAGCATTTTGCCATTCGCATTACGCACCTCGGCCAGTTAATCAATCCTATTTGGAAGGAATAAGCACAGGTCACGAGTTGAATCCCTGAAAGGGTACATAATTACTTTACATTGTTGTACCCCGCCCGTGCCGTCGGTAGTCAGTAACAGTAACCGCAATATCAGACTTGGCTTCCGTTCTGTGGGTCTTAGGTAGACGGCAGTCAAGCGCGTGGCTGGCCACGTGTGTCATTGGCTTCTGTGTCTATGGGCGGCGGCGGTGTACCAGGCGTTGTTCGCATCGGGGCGGGATGAGCAAAAGGGGCTACAATTGAATAAGAACGACAAATACCTTATAAATAGACAATTGAAAACAGACTGCACAGACACGACCAGTCGTAAAGGTTGACTGTTGAGAAATTCTCTAGATTTAGAATCGATATTTTAAGAATGTTTAAGTACTCTCGTAACTTTCTTTTAATTAAACCCAGCTGTCTCCGGCTAAAAAAACTGGCACACGATACAGATTCAACCGGAAGTTACAAAATGCCTCCATATGCACGAAAACCTTAACCCGAAGCGCAGCATCAGTCTCGTCTCTTTTTGTTCATAGATAGATTCAGGTCACTTGCTTACCATTACATATCAGCAGTTTTTACTCTTGGCACTGAAAACTGTAGCTCGAGCTGTTTCTGCTATCTACATATGTATCTTGATGACGCTTCCCACTCCACAGAGAAGCTCGGGATGCGGAGAATTGAAAGAGTAGGCCTTGGCATTTTTTTGAGCTATTATTGTTGTCGTAGTCGTTCTTGACGTCGTTGTTGAAAATACTCAAAATCAATACCTGCGCAGGTAAAGGGGTGGCCGAGGGAGGAAGCAATTTCGCCTCGCGTCAAAATTGTCACTGTTCGAAACTTTTCTTCTGCCAAGACTAAGTTTTCAGTCGCTGTGGTTAGGCACAACGGGAATGCACAATAATTGGCATTAAGTAGATATGTATGTATGTTATAATGGAAATGTGCAATATCGCTCAAGTAAACTGTGTAGTGTAGAAACCCAAACTAAAATTCATAGGCTTCTCAGCCACTTTCCGAAACACTCAGGCAAGTGACCACACACCTATGTAAAATGTACATATATATGTATATACAAATGTAAATTCTTCTACACCCCTCTATATGACAGTACAGGATCAGTCACGAGGAAAGCACTTTGGAGTGCTTCTCACTCTGAATTTCTACTTTAGTGGCAGCACATGTAGAATTTTTCGCCTGACGAAGGCGGTATCAAATCCGAACCCTAACAACCTTGAATAATTATAGTAGCAGCCGATTACCGGAAATCACGTTTTTACGCTTATGACGTTCGAGGGGTTGTCGTCTAATAAGAGAAAATTAATGTTAAAGGTATTGGGGGAGAGAAATTAAACGAACCGATCCAAGTCTGAATCCGACCTGAAGCAAAACCGGCGAACGAATGGGGTCCAAATCTGGGTGGACAGCTCATGGAAGGTTTGTACAAATTTATGACGTCGTTGGCGCTGGCTTACACATGTTGTGCCCCTTATTTATGCACCTTTCTCCTCACTCACCCCTACACTCTATCACTGTTCCGTTTCTCAGTGGACCGACAAATACAATAATAATAACAAACCAATACATATATATGTACATATATAAACTTGTTGGCACCTCCCCCGCCCCTCGCCGACTTGAAACGTGACTAGGAAGCCAAGTGGCTTTCCAGCGCCTTCCCACTAGTTAGTCTTCATATTTTTGTGTTCATTTACCCTCGCGAGGGCTACCTGTAGTCTCCGATATACCAGTCAGATGCAGTTTACAAAACGACCACACACTGACGTTTTTAAATCTTCTTCATAACTGTGTTCGAGTTACAAAACGAAGGGTATCATAAATGTTTATTCATCGCACTACGATGAAAGTTTCAACGAGTCGTAGTTTGTCCACGGTCCACCCAAGAGCCAACATTTTCTCCGAAAATACAAAACGGCCAACCATAAAGAGTTGGTAAAAAAATATATCCAGTGGCGTGCAGTGTGTGTCTCTAGGGGAGGGGGGCGAGCTAAAAGAGCGTGTTGGTGTGACAAGTGAGTAGATGTAGATTACAGATGAAGAAATTGTAAAATTTGACAAAAAACCGCTAAGGTACAGATGTCCTACAGAGTACCGGGTATGCCGTAAGAAGCGTCTCACATTTCCCTTCTTGATGTTATATCAGTTTATTACAGTGCAAAAAAAATAGTAAGGAATAACAATCAAAAAAATTAAAGTTCATGAAGATACGAATAGGAATAGTGTTCGGAGTAATGCCTGTTTCTCTGTGGGACTGCCGTGAAGCTCTGCTTCGCTGGATCGGGCGGGTCACCTTGGACCCCATCTTTTGTTCCGTTACGACTCTGCTTCAGCTCTCTCAGTTTCTGCATTACTTCATTACTTACTACTACAATACTACGAGATTAGGTTCCTGGCGTTCAGAGTGTCTCCTTGGGCAAGTGTGGAGGATGTGCTCCGCGGTCTCTTCTACGCCGCGCGCTGGGCAGTTGACCCACATGCCTTAGTCTGGTATAAGGCTATAAGTCCATCTGCCCTTCGCTGAGTTGGCCCATCTGACGGTACTTCTTTCCCTCGCCGCCATCTTTGTTGTCCTCCGTAATGCCGGGGAGAGGTTTTGGGGTACTGCATCGAGCTCAGAGGAGATCTCCTTGCCTTCCGTGGCGAGTTGGAGCCCTTGTGTTCAGCATACATACATATGTATGTTCCCTGTCCTCTTTTTTACATACATACATTTGTATGTACATATGTTCATATGTATTAAAGTGCGTCTCTATTAAAGATTGCGTGTGTGCTTGACATGTTTTTAAATTTAACAATAATATGTGGCTTCATAATAAATCTTACAAAGAATTAGAATTGCTATTTTATTCGAAAAACGGAACTACTCCCAATGCATGCAGCATCAGTGGGGCATGGAGTTGTAGAGCTTCTCCGGTTTGACAGTTGCGTCAGAAAGTAACGAAAGTTTAATGGAAATGCTGTTGTAATAATTACGTCTATTTGTAGTGGTGACAACATCAGCCAAATAAATTTAGCTTACAAACGGCGCAGAGTACCGTGCAACGATTATAAGTGGTGCGATTACATTTTCCCAAACAATTACAATTACGCCCCTGCGTTGGCGAGATTTTAAGAGTTTAGCGAAATGCTTAAGGCGTAGCAGAGCATATTGAAACGTATCAAAATCACATCAGAACTTCTCCAGTGTTGAAATCATATAGAGTTTCAACGAGAATTATAGAAAAATTGCATTGTTAAAACATTGCAATATAAACGGGTTTGCAGCAACCAAGATAAGTTTTCGGAAACTGTACACATATTTAATACATTCAAGTGTGCATTCCGTTCCAAGTTACAACCATTTTTTAAGAAGATTGAATCTTCAAAAGCTAAATATGTTGCTATAGACGCCTTTCCCTCGCCTTCGTGAAGTGCCAAATAACCAAAGAAAACTATTAGTTCTTGAAACAGAGAAATAACATAATGAGAAGTAAAAACATGCAACAACATTATGTTCTTTCTTAATAAGAGCACAAAGTTTGGGTGCACTACGTCGGCACCACGAAAGAAAAAACGCCAATGGAATGCGTTTTGTACAAGAAAAAAATATAATCCGTTCAACATTGATATTGATAAGATTCGTCCCATTATACATAAATTAAATAGCGAGTTGGTGCATGTATTTTGTATTTAAATAGAAATAATGAAGAAGAACGAAATGCTTGGCGTGACGTTGCTGGCAATGTGCCAAAATGAATAAACATTCTTACTCAAATAAGCAAAACAATAAGAAGTGCAATGGCCACCAACATGCGCCACGAGTCAAATTGATGATCAACATTAAAGCATGACAAAAACATACTAAAAAGGGACTTACGAACTCTATACCAATAAAGACGATGTTTTCTAAGGGGTATCACTACTCGAAGTTTGTGAATCAATAAACACTAACGCCGCTCTCTAGCATGTTCGCATATGTATGTACATATGTATGTATGTATATATGTATAACATCTTCCTTTAGTTCTATCCGATGACTTGATTAATTTTAAGACGAGGAAGGACGTGTGAGACGCTTCTTACTCACAACTTGTATATATATATATATATGAGAAATCTGGTCATAATATCTTTGACCCAGAACTTTGGCGTCTCTGCAGATTTTAAACTCAAACTCGTAAGACGTTGCGAAACAATTTTTGATTCCTGTTTAGTAGCTTTTCAAAGGGAACAGCCAAGTCCGCGGTGTTGGTGCCTCATGATACAAAACTACAACAAAAGCTGAAATGAAATGCATCAGTACTACCGATGCCAAATGAGGAGGATTATGGTCACAGTAGGCAATACGCTACAAAAAATGTAAATAGCAAATTATGTATGTATTTATGTACGTACAACATATGTACACAACGTATAATCTCTCACAGGAAGACTACTACTATATTCAATCCAAATTATGTACACATGTACATACTTTCATATGTGCATGCGTACATACTTTCATATGTACATGTGTACATAAATTGGATTGAATATAGTAAGTAGTCTTCCTGTGAGAGATTATATGCACTTATGTATATGTGACTTATATTGGTTACCTGAATTTTTCCATGATTACTTACAGTGTCATATATTATATGTATGTATGTCGCAACATGAGCAGTAGAAAAGTAGTCCCAATAGATGTCTCAGTCCAGTCTCCGAGCTAGGCAGTATGACAGTATGAGATAACTGGTTGCTGTTCCTACCGAGCCACTTTTCGGTGTCAGGCGCACGCCTACGCTTTTTCCGTATGTATAATGTTGGCGGGGCCGACAGCAATGCATTTAATTTTTCAGTCTCTCACATTAAAAAGCCAACGAACCAAAATGTTTTTATAACTATTATTAAATTATACGTTCCAGCAAGACTGGAGCAAAACGACAATTAAAGCTTAATTTGGAATTATCTTTCAAGAGAGTTTCCAGTGCGCAGTACCGTACCAGTATCAGCCTTATCGGCTTAGAAACAAAAACAGTTCAAAAATAGGCGCTCATAAATGAATGGCCGATCGTCGGCTAAAGGGAATTTTTGAATAGGTTGCTTATCTCCAGATAAATATTGCACTCCAGTATTTGAGTCGAAATGAAGAATTTTTATTGTTTTTTCATTTTAGTTGAACAATTGATCTAGACCGGACGCGGTGAGAGCTAAATGCCCCGATTTGATTAGCAATACCCAAACAGCTGCAGAATTGGTTCACGTCATGTATTTACGAGAAATGCTTACACTGTCATGCCTGGTCCTTCTGCTCGGTGGACTGCCGCATCTCACATCAACAACCACGACCACCACCCTGGTCGCTGCCATGTCGATTGCGAATCAGGACCTGGAGCGATACTTTAGACCAGCTAATGCCACGCACACCTTCGCCAGCATGGAGGAGCGGATTGCCGTGGATGTCTATAACTACGCTTTTCTCAACTGGTCATATATGGACCATGGCAACACGCTGTGTGAGACGGACTTTGCCCAGGAACAGGCTCGCTATGGAGAGGGTCGGGTGCTGAATGTGACTGGCCGTTTGATCCACATCAGTGCCACTGACAGCGTTAGCGATGACTATGCCTGCACGCCCTATATTCGGGGAACTATGGGCGCCCCCATGCCCGATAAGGGAGTGGTCTGGATTGCTTTAGTTAGACGCGGCCGTTGCACATTCGAAGAAAAGGTTAAGCATGTCTATCAGCAGAACGCCGCCGGTGTCATTATCTACAACGACAAACAGGTGATGCAGCTGGAGAAGATGCAGATCAAGGGCAAGACGCGTAAGTTGAAGGTTTTGTAGTGCAGGCCTTAAAGTCTGAATACATTCTTATTTTTTTTAGGAAATATTGCTGCTGTGATAACGTATCAAAATATTGGACAAGATCTTGCAATGACTGTTGATAGGGGATACAATGTAACCATATCTCTAATCGAAGGACGGCGTGGTGTGCGAACTGTCAGTAGTTTAAATCGGTAAGTTTCATATAATATATATTATATACAAAAATATGTATATACATATACATACATATTATATATATTTTATATCATAAAAATAACCAATAAGGAAAATGTACACTAAATTGGAGACGCCGGGGTTTGAACCCGGGACTTCTCACATGCGAAGCGAGCGCTCTACCACTGAGCTACGTCCCCATGAAATTGTTGGTTGAGCAAAGCAATACTTCAATTGGGAGTTTTACAACTGATGAAGTTCAAACAAATTGAACAAATAAAACGAATTCGAACAAATTGCAGACAGACTTTATTGTCCAATTTGTTCGCAATTACAATAATTGCTAAGTTCAAAATCCAAAAAGACAGTGCAGAAAATATAATACAAATATTTAGTACTTTTAAGAACGAACGGATTGTAATCCGCTTACGAATAAGTGTTAAGAAAAAAATAATGGTTAAGGCAGATGTGTTTTGGAGACGCCGGGGTTTGAACCCGGGACTTCTCACATGCGAAGCGAGCGCTCTACCACTGAGCTACGTCCCCTTGCATGGCGAATTGGACAAACGTGCTATTAGAGCGTACAGCGAACCCTCACAATTTCCCGAGAACTGCCTTACCAGCAAACGTCGGTAGCGCAGTTTAAAATTTGTACTGTTTACGACTCTTGCATACTCTTTCGATACGATTTCGATTTTAGGCATATGTATACTGAAAGTTATTCTGTTTTTTCTTTGTTATTTAATCGCTACAGCGAAATTGCTTGGTCGCAGACGATGAGTCCGCATTGACCAGGTACTTTATGTTGATTAATATTATTATTATTTTTGTTTTATTATGTTGAATATTAGAAAAAAAAGTGTTACTGAAAATTTTGAACTCAAAAAAGACATTTTTGCCAAACGAACACCTGAAATGGACTGTGGAAACTTAGTCTTGTATGAAGTTTTTTTCTTAAGTATTTTAAGGAAATTCATTTAAAAAAATTTAAATTATGTAAACAAAATATTTTGAAGGCACAAATATTATGACTTATTTTGAATGGAGACGCCGGGGTTTGAACCCGGGACTTCTCACATGCGAAGCGAGCGCTCTACCACTGAGCTACGTCCCCATGGGCCGACTCTCCGCCAAATGCTTTTCTTCCCACGACCAAAGTTATGCTTTATTGATTTGGGTCTCAAAATTTGACGATTCTCTTATTAATTCCTGATATTTCTTTTTCAGTACTTCAGTTTTATTCGTCTCCATATCATTCATCGTCCTTATGATAATATCGCTTGTGTGGCTCATCTTCTACTATATACAACGGTTCCGTTACATGCAGGCGAAAGATCAGCAATCGGTAAGGACCACTTCGTAAGCATATGCATTGACTGTCTCCACACACTTAAACACTTTTCTAACTTTAGCGCAACTTGTGCTCTGTTACCAAGAAAGCGATTATGAAGATTCCAACGAAAACGGGAAAAATAAGTGATGAGAAGGACCTGGACAGCGACTGCTGTGCCATATGCATTGAAGCCTACAAGCCCACGGACACAATACGCATATTGCCGTGCAAGTGAGTAGCCCCACTTTGAGTCGACTCAATTGAAAGACTAATCTAATTTAATAAATTCTCCTAGACACGAGTTCCATAAGAATTGCATCGATCCGTGGCTAATTGAGCATCGAACCTGTCCGATGTGCAAACTAGATGTGCTCAAATTTTATGGCTATGTGGTGGGTGATCAAATCTATCAAACACCCAGTCCACAACATACTGCACCCATTGCGGCTGTCGCCCAGCCATCTATTCAGGATGTTCCTGTCATTGTAGTGGCTTTGTCACAGGCCCAGCAGCAACCTCTGCAGCATCTACAGGCCAGCAACATGAGTAGTTTTGGCGCTAGTTATTTGCATCAGCGTAGTCGTAGTCCTAGTAGTAGTAATCATCCGCAGTTGCAGCAGTATCCGCAACAACAGCAACAGCAGCATGAGGGGGCTATCAAGCGCGTCCGACGAAACTCAGCTCCAGCTACAATCCCGAATGCCATAATTTGTACTGCCAGCCGTCAGGTGACAGATGTTTAAGTCAGCATACCACCCACACCTTAGTCTAAGATACTACCTTCCGTGAAAATAGCGGGAACCAACTCCCTCTGCAAGCAGTGCATTCCACAGCATGCAGTTTGCTGCGTAGTAAGCGGTTACGTTTAAATATCATAATACCAGACCAATGTTCATAATTTCTTTTGTCAGGACCTTTGTATTTTATTTGTACAACAAAGTGGAAGGGAAATGATTTGAGCGGTAAAATAAGCCATCGTGCAACCCGCCAGTGGAGAAAAAAGCGTCATCAAGAAGCGACTGTCTATTAATTATAACTTTTTTTGATAAAACAAGTTGTAATATAAGATTTTGTAAGTACAATTTTAAAAGTATGTATTCTTTTCTTAAATTGGTGTTAAAAAAATGTTTTAGTTCCTGTTTCAAATTACCGTTGTATCACCAAGGGCATGAACGGCAGAGTTGCAGTCAGCAGAAACTCAAGTCATTGATGATTGGGCCTGACAAATACTTTTAAGTATGCCTTTGACCGTAATTGCAGACCGAATATATATATTAGTTGCTAATCAAAAGAAGCAGAAAGGCTTTATTTTGAATTATATTTACATTTACACTCGGTTGTAAATAAGTTCATTTGAGGGCAGTGTACTTAAAAATGCTGACAAGAAGACTACAATTTTAGATTGTACAACAATACCATTGTGTAACCAAAACAAATTACCGCTGGAAGTTCAACTTGAAAACGGAATTCTACTTTAATCACATAGAGTTTTAAGTTTAATGTTTAAGTTCGTATTAAGCATACCGATTGTCGATAAAAGTAGATAAATAGATAAGGAAAAATACTTGGAGTACTCGTACCACAATAACGATACCTACCTACCATACATAGCCTCATCATACAATGTATGATTATACTTATACAAAATGACTATATCTACACATCTATTGAGAAGTAGATATAAACTAAAATGTAGCTAAATCAGGTAATGGTTTATGGATCATCAAAGTCATTGCGAATCCCTGCCGATTACATATGTATGTATGTACATATGCATTCATATTCCATATACGGACATATTTACACACATACATATGCATTCATATTCCATATAAGGACATATGTACATACATACATACATATATATATTTATATAACCAGTTACATATACCAATCACAGTTCGCACACTTATGCATAAATGTCTATTGAAGTATCAAAGGTGCCAAAGCATTTGCTTTTAGTTGTTCAAATTAAATAAATACACAAAACAAATTTTAATTTACATTAATTTAAATCCTCACATTTTGATATGTACAAAACGTTTTTGTTTAGATATGTTGAGCAGGTTATACTGCTCTGTGATATTCAAAAAATAATACACTGAATTATTTTCATATTCATATCAATATCTATTTCTTTTGATTTTTTTTTTGGTTCAAGCTCAAAACAACCTGTAATAACCTGCCCTCTAATATTGAAATCAAATAAGGTAGTGCTCTGGTAAGAATTATCTCAAAACCTTATCAGAATGTCGTTTGCTAGAACCCTTGAATAAACTGTGGACCTAAAACTATTTAAGAACCAAACCAATAAATTAACTCAAAAAATTAAAACCTTCTGCTTATTTGCAATTTTAGAACCGATCGCTTCTTTAAACTTATTGAAATAATTGGAACCATAACTAGAAAGGAATGGTCAACCATAAACCATTTTCTTTTTCAGTTTCTGGGAAGCGAAGAGAGTATACTGGAATACCAACCAGATCGTCCAGATCTCACAACAATTGTGGACCTGGGCCTTCAGGGCTCTGCCACGGAGCCCAACCCCGGCCCATCTTCCACACGGCCCTCTGCCTTGTCCGATCTCATTCGCAGTCGAGACTTCGTAATAGACTTTCCTCGAGTTTTCGTCCTCGAAAGTGGCAGCGTGGTGGGTGCTCGTGAAATGCTTTTCCCCAGCCGATTACCAGAGAGGTCGCAAAGTTCGTTGTCGCTCAGACAGGCTCGAGACTGGATGAACCTGATGACCAACAAGCTCGAGGAGCAGCAGGGGCTGCGGCGTTTGCGAAAGGATGAAATGCAGCAGGTGGCCAACGAATCGCAAACTACTCCATTCTGTCTATCTTTATTTATCGATTATTTCCCCGCAGCAACTTCTAAGCGCTCAGGAATCGGCCCGGCATCGTCGCTCACGCTCCGCGGATGGTCGCTTTGGCGGTCGTCAGCGACAGCCTTCAGTTCAGGGCCCTGGGCAAGTGCAACCTGAGCTTCAATCAGATAACCCTAAAATTCCTCGATCAAGTTCTTCCCACTCCCTGCAACAGATAACGGATACTTCGTATGCTCAGTCAAGTCAGCGACAGCGGGAACGGGAACCCTTCGACTTTGCCAGAACACGCCGTCGCTTCATGAAGGGCGAAAGCGATGAGATATCCTTGCCCACAATACCCAAACGAGGAAGTATGGTAGGTACTGGTGGAATAGCTCCACTTCCCACCCAATCAAATCCGGAGAGAGAGGCCAGTGGAGACTACATCACCATTCAGGTGAATGGGGAAGGTATCGATCTCAATGAATGAACTACGCTAGGGATTGCCTTATTGTATTCCTTGAACTATTTGCTTTCTCGCAACTGTATAAAATATGTTGTATAAACTATTCAATAATAGAAATGGTTAATAAAAGGCTAACACCGAAAGCCTCGAAAGAATATCAGGTATGAACACTGTAGTCGACCTTACGACGAGTGAGATTAGATACATATACTATCAGAGAGAGAAATTGAAAAAAGCTTGCGTAAATTACGAGACAATACCCTCTCCACTTAGCACATAAGCACTTAGGCCTCACATACAAAACTTGCGGCGAATTCCATTAAGGAACTGCGCGTGCGCGTGCCTCCAACTTGATGATGCCATACTAGTGATATGTTGTTGTGTCTTACGATTACCAGACTGTGAGGCAGCAGTGAGACTCAGGGAACGGACAAAACACAGCAGACTGTATGTAGACGGCTAAAGGGAGATCCACAATTCTGATCCCATCAAAAGCGAAGAGCAAGAAAAATAGAGCACAAGTTATGAGGAAGCCGAGCGGTTGAAGTTTGCCGCAGCCAACGACAGCTAATAAGAATTCATCATGTGCTCCACAAGTGAGAGGCAGAGGTAAAAACTCTCCTTGGTGGAGAGACCCAGACCAGACCCAGTCCCCGACGCCGTCCCCTGCACGCGCCGTAATTGCAACGCAACAGGAGGGCTGAAGATCTCCAGCTTCAGGAGCAAACCAGAGCAGCCGCAGAACCGCCGTCGTCGTCGTCATCATGGCCCCTCGATGTTTATAAACTTAAAGCCTGTAATCACATTAGGGCATGTAGACAGAGAGCTCCGGCTTGCCAAAGTGTTGCAGCTTTATCACCTGACGGTGAAGAAGCTTTGCTTCTCGGTCTCCGCATCGATTCCTCTACTCCTTGCACATCCAACGATCGCGATCGATGACAGCACGTACAAGTTTGTCTCCCCCCTACCCCCCACGCTTTTGGAGATGGGATGGCAGGCAGGCTGCCGCCTCACTGACTTCGGCTGGCTTAGGGCACAAAGGGCGTGTCTGAGGTGGGCGTTACACAGCACATCCATGATAAAATTATTATATAGTTGGAGCTTCATGCCGCCGCTTTAAGGGAGCTTTAAGGGTAAGAAACTGAAACAAAACCAAAATAAGAAGGACAACATCTGCATAAAAATATCCCATGTAGGTGTTGATGTCCATTAGGCGCAGGAATGCGAGTATTTATTTCATTGCAGTCGTAACAATGTTTGATATTCGAAAAAGATTCTTCAGGTCAATATGGTTTATGTGCACACTTTACGCTAAGAATAAGAATGGAAGCCTTCAGTAATTATATCTTTGTTTGGCTTGCATCCAATGAATAAACAAACGCACGACAAAATCAATGTACCGTGTTAATGTGGCAAGTAGGAGGGAATGCCAGTGAGGCGAAACCAATCGCGCCAGCGGCAGATGTGGATCCGTTCCCGTTCTTCACTTGGTACTTTGTTCTGGACCAGGTTTGCTATTCTTAGGCCTCATGATCCTACATATGGTAGATGTATCTCCCAATCGGAACTAATTGTCTAAACAATAAACCTAGTCCCTACCAAGTGTGAATTCAAATCCAATCATAGAGTTAGAGTTCGCCAAATATGGGCTCTAAGTAACAGTGAGAAGAATACAGTGGCAGAGAAGTTCGGTAATTTTCGATGAATGTGAGATCTTTTGGCATTCAAATAATTGTCCAAATGGAAAACAGTCCAGAGAGGGGCACTGATCACGTGACAAGAAGATCACCAAAACCCAAAAGACATCAAAAAAATGGCGATTCGATGCGCTGACTTGTTATGTTTGCCAATCAACCCTGACCCGACTGTCGGTCTCAGCAGGGAGTCTACCTGAATCTGGGAGTGTCAACTATATGCCAATGCCATCTTGCCCGCTCTCTTTCCGTAATGGCGTGCGGTCATGTCGTCCTGCGGCATGGCTCGTACTATTACATCAACCATAAAGCAGTGCTATTAGTCATTATTATTTCACCTAGGATATATTTCTGGAATAGAAAGTACCTCACACCATCATCTGCCAATATCATCTGTCAACAGTTTATTAATATCAACCCTTTGCTGTTCTTCTTTCCTAATTCATTCACATGTCATCAATGCCAGCTCCCACCACCCACACGGTCTGGAATTACACGTGGCTGCGGCATTTTTCGTATATTTTCATTTTTTTATCCATGCTCTACCGGATACAGTTTTATTAAATGCAATGAAAGTCAGACAGTCATGGCAGTTGCATGAGTTTTCTGTTATTTTTGATTTTTTGCCACTAGCTTAAAACATTTTTATGCTGCAATGAGAACAACGTTTTCTCAAGCAACATAAAAAAGCGATATCTTAACTTGCTTTTGAGTGCACTTAATTTTTGGGTTGACCGCTTGGACCTTCAATTGGCAGCTTGGTGGATTTACTAAGCGCTTCATTTTGGGGACGATTGGCTTAGGCGAACGGACAACCAACGGACAACGCCAGCTAAGGAGGCTGCCTGTGTTAGCCTTCAGGTCCTGGCTCATGAATATGTTGGATGGTTCGTCTGTCTTCGCTTTGTGAGTGATTCATAGGAAAGTGCTCTCCTCAGGCAATCTTTCTTGATGTTGCTTTTGCTGTTGATGGCGATCATGTCGATTGTTCGCTGATATGAATATAAATGGGCGAGTATTGCGCTGATTTGTCGGCTCAAAAACAAAGAAAAGTCTAACGGCAATTTGGCGGAGGTCTTTTGTTATTTCACTGCTTCATCCACGATCGGTGCGATCTTGATTTTGTAAATCAGTCCGTTAAGCGATCTGTCCTCCAACCATCGAAGTTATGTATGTATGTACATATGTATTTATATTTTCCATAGACTTTGTTTGAATTTTTCATGAGTGGAAACTCAATCTCAGTTACACCATCCTTGTTCATTCACAAATGAGCACAGCCTGAGCACAAAGGTAACCCATAAATTGTCAAAAAATCAAAAATCAACCAAAATATTATTCAGGAAATGCCGAAGTCTAATCCTGCTAGGGTCTCTGGAATTCTGTTGAAATCATAATATCCGATTATGTAGATCAATGCGAACAGTGAACAAAAACAAGCTAGCGAAAAAAATACAAGAAAACGGCATGTTGTCAAACGTTTGAAAGGCTCAGCCGCAGGCCGAGCTTAAGTCCCAACTCGCTTTCGAATCCGACGAGGGTATGGGACGGAAAAGAGTCTACGGACGAGTCAAGGAATCAAGGCATTAAGAGCGAAGGCAACGTGGGCGTTGCTGCATTTTTATTGAAATAAAACACAAAAGCAGATTTCAATGTATTTATTTGGCCAAGCGTGTGAGGATAGCGAAAATGTAAGAAGGCACCCTCGAAGTTGGAAGAAGTGTTCGTTAGACGCGCGTGTGCAGCGGATTATCCCTATGCACTTGTTACACATATTCGACCGCAGAGGCAGGACTCGGTAGACTGCAACGGAAAGCAACAAAAGAAACAACATTAAAAGAGGTTCAAGAGCAAGAGCTCTTTGAGATAAACTCATCACAGGCAGTTCGTTCGTCAGACACGCCGTGGCACTGATCCTGCTTGTCCGAGCTGGTCCTAAGTCAAGTAAACGCCTACAGACTCAAAAGTCATGTCATGTTGTGGCGAAAAGGATTTTCCGTGCCACTGAGACAATTTCTTGTACCTCCTTTCAACCTGCTCTATATCACGATCGACCTTTGATCCTTGTAGTCACAAACACCGAGCAGTTTGGCAATATTGATTGATTTTATTGGATTTTCAGCTTAGGCTTAAAGCAACGCGCAATCTTGGATGTGAATCTACCAAAAGGAAAAGATATGGACAAGCCACCTCCAATCAGTTTTCATCCAGACACTTTCTTGTGCGCAACAAATTGAACTTGGTCATGGAGCATTACTTTTCCTAATATTATTAGAAACTTCTCCCATATTTTTCGTAACCATATTTTTCGGATTGCGAATTCAGTGCTCAGGAGACAAGAGGTCTGAATAGAAACGCAAGGTGTTGTTTTTCATTGAATAATTAAATGTGTGAAAAATGTAATTTCTTATTTGTAAAGGAATAATGTTTTTGAATTGTTAAGTTTATGGTATAGACTTACTTACAGCTTTTACGTTATATCCTATTTATTTTAAGAGAAACTTCTTCAGATTTGAAAGATTTCCCATAAATTCAACCCCATTATAAATAGTACAGAATTGCCATTGCCATCATGATGGCTGACGCATTGAGAATAAAATCAAGGCTTTCAACCCCGAATGGAAAGTGTCGTACAACATGGAACGACTTTGGCAAGAGCTCGGTCACACCAAGCGTTTATAACTGCCCAAAGCAAATATCCACCGAGCAGATAAAAATAAGCGTAGAAATAATTCATCTTGCTGCTTAGCAAGCTGCTGGCCGCTGTGCTGCCTTCGACTTCTGTCCTGACACACGGCCTGGCACGCCATCAGCCTCCTCTTGTCACCGCCATTTTCCGCCATAGAATAAGGGTAAGCAGCTGCCAGGAAGACCAAAACAGAAAAAATAGTGTCGAAAAATGTTTCGTTTTCGATATGTTGAAAAATAATGCTCCCGTCTTTGTCCTTTTTCCTTGATTTCTGCACGCTTCACGCCAATTTGTGCGCCTATCAACTAGGTGATGGCAGTGCTGATGGTGGTGGTGGTATACATACGCAGATCCCATGCGCCTATGCCGCTCCCAGAACTGTACGAGTATGCTGTACTGTGCGAGTTTCCCAAACGCTATCAGTGTCATCCACTACATCCTTTCGCATATTGTTCCCTTTTGATCCTCCCTATTTCACTCTTGGCATGGGAATCACTTTCAATGGCGCGAAATATAATTAATTTAAATGATTGGGTTGTTTGTATAGACCTCAGGAAGTGAGGGGGAAAAGCAAGAGCTGAGCAATGGTAGCCGTTTAAATTGGGTTTTCCAAACACTTAGCGTCTTACACTGCAATACTTGAAGATCGCGTAAGCAGAAAGCTGATGCTGAATTTCAGCCGCATGCCGTAACCAATGTGAGAGCTTTGGAAATCCAGCCATCTTTAAAAATAGTTGAAATTATAAGAAATTGGCATAATAACAAACGCTCGTCTCACTATTTGTGTTCTGATAAAGTCTGCGGAACCAGACTGTAAACTACTCCAAAGTACTCGTGCTCGGGAGAGCACAATACAATTACAACTGCCAGTTGGCGGGTCGGCGAAAGATCAAAGTGAGGCAAAAAAGCTGCGCAGCCAAAGAAATAACAGAAAATAACTTTGGCAGCGTGCAACAATAACAATGGAAATAACGATAAAAAAATAAAATATAAGCCAAGGAAAAATAATGTACAGAAAAATGGCAAGCAGCATCGCAAGCAACATCGCAACTTCAATTTCATCTCAACTCTACCCGACAACTTTCCCAAGCAATATGCAAATATATCATAGCCGGCTAGTTACCCTGATGGATGGTACAGCCAAATGGTTCATGAGTCATCCGCAGTGGTGCCCGCTCACTCGATAGCAGGATACCACCACGACACCACAAACTGAGAGCAGGTACGACACTAAAGTTACGGTTTGATCACAAGTTGAGCGTAAAATATGTTAAAGATCATCGGGTGTCAGTGACTGTGTGTGCCGGCAAATAAGCGTAAAATGATCAAAGACTTTTCGCGCGCTATGCCAAGTCTAGAATCGTTCTATACCCTTCTCTCCATCCCCAGAAACAGAACATTATTCATGTGTATGTTCTCTCCAGCCACTTTGGCATACTGCACGTAAGCTTAACGTGCGCGCATTTTGCAAAATAACATTCAATTTGTGCAACCTGATCAAGCAATTGCATCAACCGCTGGCTCAGCGATGATCGATGATAACCCAAGAGCAGGCTTTAATAAATAATCAAAGTACTCGATTGTAATCTCATTTTGCGATCCATATTTCGAGTACCCTTAGCTCTTTCGCTTGGCGTTTGTGCATATTTTTACGCTTGCTTAAAGCTGCCGAGTGCTGGGCTTAAAGAAGATCACCGACGGCTCGGCGCAGCTCGCCTTCTCTCCCCCTCCCCTAACCTGTCCCCAGCTCTATCATCGATGTAAATTACATGTTGCACACCTTGATGATTTCTACAATTGCTGACCAGCTTCGGCAGCAATAACAACAATTTGTAGTCGCTGCAGACAAGCCGGCTGCATGCCCAGTCCAATTGCACCAATCCGGTAACGAAATCTCAGCACAGCTCCATTACCATTATTCACCCGTTCTTCCACTGCATTGGGCCTCAGTCTCAGGTGTCCGGTCTTCTCCAGGTCGAAGGGTTTTTTATTGAATTATAATGTTATTTGGTGGTTGCTGCCGTTTCCGCTGCCACTGCCTCGTCTCCATCTACGTCAGACTTTTTGGAAGCATATATCGCCTAAAGGGTCCTTCCCCACCGAATCGACGGTTAAAGCTCGCTTCAGTGGGTATTAAAACATTTGAGATGGCTGATAGAAGTGATAGTTATCCTTTAGATACCTGCATCATTTGATATCGTCTGATTTTCTATAGTAACCCTCTTGAATTATATCCACCTGCGACATCCAAGAGTGCAGACCGCAGTCTTAATTTAAAAACTCGCATGCGTAACTCAGCACCAGTCTAATCAAATTCTCAATGCAAATGCATCGAAATTCAAGCGTAATTTCCTTGGAGCGAAATTGCACCCAAACTCGGAAATGAAAACGAAGAGGAACCGCATCCAAATGTTGCGTGAGCTGAGTTTCAGCCCTCGCACAGCCCGAAACGAAGCAGAAAGAGATACACTCTAAATTTGCGTTACGTAACGGAATTTAAAACGTTCCTTATCAGATTGGTTCTGAAGTTTTATCAATGCTCGCTTCCATCGGCCGCTGCTCGAATGAATGAGAATATCATTAATCTCCTGCTCCCAGAGTTCCTTCACAATTGTTGCTTGGCTGCGCCATTTAATGCGCTAATAATTTTTAATGAATACATGATCAATTTTTGTGTTTGTTTTGGTGCAGATCAGTGGATGGACGTGACGTTGGATACCGGTACAAATTAACGGGTGCAGTTAGATTGGAAACAAAGCCTTTGTTGCCAAGTTGTCAGAATAATCAGCTGAATTCGTTGTATTGGAATTGCAGTTAAAGGCCTAAATTAGTGTTTATGTCTAGTACCTTCAAGAAAGTTAGATTTCTACAGTCATACGTGCCCGTCTGCATACTCGTACATATATGCACTATCCACCAATTGTAGCTGCTCATCATGTCGTCCATCAACAAGATCTCTGATCATCAATCAGAAAGCAGCATCTCGAGACAAAGCGACCACAATGCGAGCACAGCTACCGGAGCTACACTTTCAGTCAAGTTGGCCACACAGGAAATTGCCTTTGAGCAAAAGATGGAATGAAATTCGCAGGCTACCGGCACTAAAACTGACGGCTAAAAGTGAGTGAGGGTTGACTATCGAAAACGCATAAATCACGATAATTTTCAGTCGGGCGAGCCTTTCAACAGCTTTGTCAAATGTGCCGCAGCGGAACTCACACTCGGACATGCCTCTGGGTTCTCGACTTGCCACACAAATTAAATTTGTATAAAAATATCCAAGTTGGTGGGCCTGGACTCAGCCCAGGATACAAACCGACAAGACAAACGAAGCCGCAGGCTACTGTATGGCAGTGAAATGACAAAGTGCAACTGCTCCAGGCAGTAAAGAACTCCCCAGGACGAGCTATGCGATCAATTATGATTGTCACAGTTGACACACATTATCGCCCTCGTAGTGACGTTTAGTAGTGTGCTAGAAAGAGAGCTAGGGAACCTGTTGTCGTGGCAGGACTCTTCGAATTCTTCAGTGTTTCAAGACCCAAGCGATATGAGCTAATTGATGTTTTCATTTACGCACTCGGACGACCCGGACGAACGTTTTCATTCTAGGTGGTAAGTGTGACGCCCGCTGTGCACACATAATTGACGGCAACGGGGAAGGGAAGGCCTATATTAAGGATCGGCTACCTACACCTACACCACCACCCAGGACTTCGATCGGTCGTAACTAGTCCATGAGGAGAAAAACCATACGTGAATATAGTTTCCTTCCCTCTTCCCTCCCGCATTTTGTCAATGGTTTTGTTCACTCCCGTGTTCTCTCCTCTCCAGTTTCGGGTCCTCTCATCTTTGACCAGGCCCACAACTTGGCGGCATCTTGAAAGTACCCTACAATTTGACGTTGGTGGTCGTTGGATTCTTTGCTCATATTTTGCGCATCTCCTTTGTCAATTGCTCTATTTTTCTGCTATGTGTGTGGGTCCTTTAAACAATGGACTGTTCCAAAATTATTTTCGTATTATCGAATCCACAGTGCGTGCTTGTCGTTTTTGTATCTAATTGTTTAATTGTCCGATCATGAGTCGGCTTGTTGTCTGGATATGTCAAGAGAGCGCCCTTATACTGGGTAGGCCTTCATCCATGACTTAGCTTACTTGGCTTACACTGCCAGGGAGATTTCATCTCCAGGCCTATTCTTGTTTCAGTTTATTGTAGCCCTGTCAGTTTAGGGGACATTTTGTGTTCGATTTTGAAGGATTAGTTGATTGTGTACCTGTCCGAGCCCCGGCGACTTGTACATGACCGTAGCAAGGTTCATACATACATACATATGTACAAGTGTATGTGTGTGGTCCAAAGTCGTGGACAATGCCATTAGTTTAATTAAATGTGAGAAGATCGTCTTTAGCGAATTTATTTTTGTAGTTGGATATACATTATATTTCAAGTACGGCTTCTAAAACTAAATATACCCACCCACTAAATCGTTGAGCACAGCAAAGCCAAATGTCAAAGATAACATTAGTCCTATTGCTGTATTTTGCGTAGCCCTTTGTTTAGATAACAATAAAATTAAAAATGCTAATTTCTGCAGTTTAGATTTAAAATTTATTATTTTGATTTTCGCTTTTTTCCTTAAATGTACTAGGTATGTAATTCAAAATTATCTAAACAGTCTTAAGGCCTTTACATAAGATAATGCTACTAGTAGATTAAAAGTAAAATAATAAAACATTATTTGTTTAACCAACGAATATCGAATCCAAAATCTAATTTCCCATTCTGTAGAGCCAGCTATTAGCAATCTTCTCTTAGAAGCCGAAGTAGGGGTAGGTTGGAGCAGCTGGGACCATGGAGCTCTTCTGCTCCATCTGATGATGGTAACCGCCAAAATGGTTGGCGCTGGAGCCAGTAGAGGGGAAGAAGGAGCCAGCGAAGTTATAGCTGTCCCACGATGAGTGGTGATGAGAGCCAGAAGCGGCGGCGGAGGCGAACTGTGAACGGAGCTGCTCAGCGGATGTGGCAGTGGTTGAGGACATTGTGTAGGCTCCGGCAGATCCGGTTGGAGGGTACGCAGCAGTTGCAGTTCCCATGGAGTAAGAGGAGTTCATTAAATCGTTGCCATTGACTGGATGCTGAGCCTGTGACTGAATCGGACTGTGGGCGGCGGAACTACTGCCAGTGCTGCTGGCTGGTGACATGGAAGCAACTGAGCCCCCATGGCCAGCATGTATCTCATAGGACGCTCCCGATGCAGGCCACGTCTGGGAAGTGTACAAGCTCATGCCCATGTTGGTAGTGGTGGCAGAGGAAGCTGAAGCTGTAGCTCCATATGAACTAGCTGTGGATGCGAAGCTGGGAACTTGCTGAGTGTTCAATTGCTTGCGTAGACGAGCACGACGGTTGGAGAACCAGACTTGGACACGGGCCTCAGTCAAACCGGTGCTCTGGGCTAGCTCCTCCCTTGTGTAGACATCTGGATACTGGGTGCGAGCGAAAATGCGCTCAAGGGCGTCGATCTGATCATTGGAGAAAGTGGTACGCGAGCGTCTTTGCTTCCTTTTCAGCTGTACACTGGGTTCGGTGTCATCCTCACTCTCGTCCTCGCTACCCGCCGAGATAGCACCACCTCCGAGAATGCCATCAATGCTGTGGGAGGCTCCAGAGCCGGAGGTTGCGCGGAGCAAGCGCGAGATGGAACTCACCGAGGGGGCATTCTGCTTGTCACAGATTCCGGCCTCAATCAATTTGGCGCGAATTTCCCAACTGAAGATGCCAGGCTGCGATTGCTTCAGCTCTTCGATTCTGGTCTCGATATCGGGTGTGGCCACACGTGGTTTGCTGCCACCGATTACACCAGGCCGAATGGAGCCGGTCTCCTGGAAGCGATTGAGGATCTTGGAGACACAGCCATGTGAAACTCGCAACTGCCGAGAGATAACGCAAGGACGGACACCAGCAGCTGCCATCTCGACAATTTGGCGACGAATATGATTTGGCAATGGACGACCGTTGATGAAAACACCTCCCAGTTGATTTACCCGACCTTGTCCTAAAAGTAAACGAAAAAGAAAAGATGATTAGTATCAAGTTTATAAAATTCTTTTCAACTTCAGATTATCCATCTCAATGAATCGTATTGATCCTGATCCTGTCGATCTTTCAATTAACTCAACTTCTGCGCTCGATTGAGCAACAATATGTAAAAAAATATAGACTGCACAGCCTACCTTAATGCATTGCATTCGAAAATGCACTAAGTAGGATTAGCCCAAGGATCAATTGGCACGATCTTTTGTTTTGCTGAGCCACAAACGATTCGTTGGCCATTTGTAAACATAACAAAACGCAAATTGCCAATTTGCGTAGGTCTTTTCGAACAGAAGAAAAGAAAGCGCTGATCAGTGGCAGTGGGGGAGACTGAAACTGCCGATCAAAAAGAAGAATGATGCGGCACAGCTGCATCCCATGTTGGCCCATGCAATCAAATCAAACTAATAATCCATAAGCGCTGCGGACACCCAGCTGTGCCAGCTAAAATAAGTATATAAAGGCCAGCCCCAAAAACACAACAACGGACAACAGCCAAAAAGAGAAATAAAGCCCCAGCCGTCGATCTCCAGGTCGAAGTCAGAGTCTGTTGTTTGGGGCGCTGACGGTTCTTGTACGTGATACACAAGACAAGACCCAAAGCACAAGCGTGAACCCCAGCTCAGACGCAGACACTGAGCTAAGATCAAAGCGCAATAGCCGACAGAGGCAGAGGCTATTCAAGCGAAGAGCTGGAAAGACGACCGCGCCAAAAAGTCTGCAAAGTCTGCGCTGGAAGCTGGGATGCTGCCTGGCCTACAAGTCCCCGATCACAATCAATAAGTCAAAAAGCTGATCATGCTGCCGACCGGGTAATGATCTCTCGTTTGAAAACAGCGGGCGAAAGCGCAGCCCAAAACGATGAGCCAGCACTTTTCAATGTCCGACTCTGACGTTTTGTACTCGTAATTGTGGTAATTGGTAATAGGGCACTGCGTAGAATGCGATCTGCTATCGATGCTTACCTTGGAAGGGATATCCAGCGAAGTAAGGAGTCATGTTGAGAGCTGATACAGCCATATCTAGCAGTAATCCGTTGTTTTGGGTCTACGAAAATATCTAAAACACTTGTCTTCTAATTTTTTGATTTTTATTAAAAAGTCTCCAAACTTCACAATCACTAGGATATCCACAAAGTAAGAATTTTCTCAAAGATAATTTGTCCCCTCGATTTGTTAATGCGAATGCGCAATGCTCAGTGATGCTGCTCGTTTGCTTGACACCTCGAAACTGATTTTGAAATGGTCAGCCACCAAGCCTAAAACGAATTCGTGAGATTCTCAGACTCAAGGAAACAAGTTTTTGGTCGGAGAAAAACCCAAGCGAGCGAGGGTGGAAGTGCAAGCGGGCAGCAGTTGGAGTGAGAACGAGAAGCAGCGATCGCAAGAGAGCGTGGCTGGTGCTAGAGCAGAGCAGGAGCACTGTTTGCTACACTGCGACAGAGGAGATAAGCAAAGCAAGAAACGAGAAAGAGAGAGCAACACAAATTTTCATAGTATGGCTGCACTTCTGTTTAGCTCCGCCCCCAGAAAAAACGGAATTTTATTTTGATTCATTTTCTCTGTGGAGTTGATTTTTGGATAAACCAGAGAGGGCTTAGAGCTGGTACTCCATTATAAATATTTATTTTATTTGCGTTTGATTTGGAGTTATGCGAATTCCTGTGTTTACCGAGGGCTGCCTTTCAAAGGTTTTCAATTTAGCAACAGTCACTTTATGTTTCCGGTTGGTGAAATGTTAGCGTTTGAATTGATTGCGCATGTCGTAATCATATTATGTACAGGATTTCCGTTTAAAGACTAATTGTAAAAATATACAACAACTTCCCAACACAAAAAATGCCCCCATCGAGGAATCCTTAGAAAAGAAAACACTTTTTCTTGAGGTGCTTTGAATGATTCAAGGAATAATAAGAGAATGTGAAAGGTTACTAAGCCGTCTCGAAGATGAGTGGGAGCAATATGCACGGGTGCCCAGCTAACTTCATTGGGAGGCCCTGCGTCTCTCCCCTTACTACCCCTAGAACGGAATTTTGTTTGCATCCTTTCTGTCTGGAAAACGCCTTCAGGTATTCCTTGACCTTGGACTAAAAGTGGACCAGCTTGGGGGTTTGATACAAGCGTGCCCTTCTTGGTCCATAACAGTATTTAAGTAACATTACAACTCTCGTATAACTAGCTATTTCGGCGAAATAGTTGGCGTAACATCGAGACGTTCCATTAAATGTTCACTCTCTACACTACGAAGATGTAATTCAATTACTGAAATCAGCCAACAGGCATTGCTGTTGCTTTGCTATTGTTAATTAGAACGAAGCTGATACCCAACATCAGCAACGGACAAAGTGAATATTCACGGGAAACAGGCACCCGGAAGGCCACTAATGTGTATGTATAGACGAGTGGGAAGCTGTCAAAAAGATTTTCGCACGAGCAAAAAGGGAAAAAAAATGTATTTCCGAGTGCATGACTTTTGGTTAATTTGCTGTTTGCTCCATCTGTGCTCCGAGATCTCGGCTATGAGCTCTCCGCTCTTAGTGTCGGTAGAAATCAAATAACTTTTGGGCATGTTGCGTATACGCCGCGTGTGCGAGCATTGAAAATTATGCGGAATCATATCCAAGGCAAGGCTGGAGACATGAACAAAATAAACTAACTTGTTGCCAGTGAGGTTGGAGGGGGGCCTAAGAGTGTGTATCTGTGAGATACATTTTGCGTGGGTGTGACGACGACACAAAAACCGACACCGACACCGACGCCGACACTGACGTTGAATGTGTGCCATTTGGCAATAATTGTAAGGCTATTGTTTGGTTTGGTTGGCCGCCACGCTCTGTGTGTGGTTTCACTTCGAGGCAATCGCTCAAATCTTATGACAACTCCAAATGCTACTGTGCGATTGGCAAAAATACCGCTGTCGATATCGATACTGGTGCAGATACAGATTGTTTGTCTTCGGCAGTGATGTATCTGTATACATTGAACTTTCGAATGGCCAGTGTTGGGTCGTTTATTGTCTCTATTTCTTTCTTGACTACCGCTTCTCATTCATTTATTTCATTCCAATTCATTTTATTAGGAAAAATAAATAGCCAACTATTCTTCAGCTTGTGGAAAACAACTTTTGATTCGTCTACTGTGGCATTTTTGTGGGAATTTTTTAATATTTTTCCCAGACAGTCAAGGACGAAAGGAATGTAAGCCATGCTTCGGCTGAGCTGTCGGCTTGCACATTGTTTGAGTATCAAGTCAGAAAATTCATTTGTAAAAACGAAATGAATTAAGGCCATTGAATTTAACTTGAGTAATGCCTTTAAAATGCTGTGGAATTCATTTTCTTCGACTCTTCGATGCCAAGTCGACGGTCTGTGACAAGCGAATGAGAGGCCTGCTCTAATATTGATTTAAAGTACTCCCAAGAAATGTTTTTGGCCAGAAACAATTTTTCAAAACGTCGTATATTAGTAAGTAATGAAGATCCCTACAAAATACTGGGCTAATAAATTCCTCTGAAAAATTACCACTAACGCCCATATGTCAGCTTAGACGAAAGCCCCTCTCCGGCTCCACTCTACCCGACCAGTAAAAGCAACAGCTGTGGGGGCTAAGGCAGCGGCGGACTGTGAAACAAGAAAACTAAATTAAAACTCAACCGCAACTGTTTACACAGCAAATGTTACTACGAAGGGGCGGCTCACCAAAGCCTCAAACTGGAGCTGAAATCCCAGAAACGGAATAAAGGAAAAAGATGATTAATTAGGGTGACTACTTGGCAGAAGAGGATGCGGAGGAGATGAGGTTGACCGATCGGACAGTTGGTCCAAGAAGTGAGAAGAGTAATATGTACAAATATATCACTCCTTCGGAACGGTTAAAAAAGAATTAATAATGTGTGATCGGATGACGCCCCCAAAATGTTTAATGCCAGTTGGTCAGCTTAACGAAAAGAGAATCATCTAATTGCAAAGGAATCCTGGGTGATGTTGTACCCAATCGGGAGTGTTGGAGAGGCGGGCACGCGTATCGCCAGGATGATATGGCAAAGAGTATCGAGGGATCGCCTGACTTTTGGACGGACACACAAAGAATTCCATTATGTGCATGATCTGTGGTTTCCTTTTCAACTCTGCTCCGTTTGCAGCGCTTTGTCGGCAAAAGAATGTAGGGAGGAGGGCAGTGAAATGAGTCAATGACGTATAGGAAATAGAGGGAGGACACCCAAGCCGCTGCCTGACAAGGACCGCCACCATCGAAGTGTGAATTCTAACAGACCGCGTCGGCGTTGCCGTCGTAAATAAAACATTTCAGCTCAAGTCACAGTCGCTGAAATGTGGCGGATTCTTTCAAAACCATAAGGGAAAGGCAGTGAAGCGATGAGTCCGATGATAAGGATGAAGATGATGATGATTATGATGAACCTAAATTGCACTTCGGCGTAGCGCCTTCGTTTAACGCGTTACTGTTAATTTTTAGCTGATCCTTGATTAACACTCCGCTCGCCTTCTGATAGGGACCTGCCATCCACTCCTTTGCTACATTTCCTCTCTCTAGCAACGCGTCTGTGAAGATCGTGCGGTGTGTGGCGTCAAGCCATAAAATACGTTTAGCACCTGCGTGTCGAGAGGTGTGATGTCAATGTTTATAATTATAACGCCTGCACATATGACTTGATGAAAGGATTTTTCCGGCTATTCGGCAGAATCGATCGTCATGAACTTGACAATTGTTTCAGATAGAATTCTGAGCTCAAATAGAAGGGGTAGTCCTTAAATGAAGGCATTACAAATAACCGTGAGGGGACTACACTCTTTTGCTACTTTTATCTTTCCTCATCCTAGAAGGCTTCAGAGAGAAATATGCATTTTCGATATACTTCAATTCCATTATTAATGATCTATGCAGAAAAAATTAATATATTAATCAGATTTGATTACAACCAATTTGACATTGAAATATGGAAAATTTTCTTGAATAAATGCACCGAGAATACATAAACGAAATAATCACGAAACGCAATCAATCCATTTCTTACTTTGCATATGACAATGCTAAGAAGCTCTGAGGAATAAGTAGGTACTATTCAAGAAACAAATACATAAATAATCTTCATAAGTAAGAATCTATTTCCCTGTTCGGCGGCCACCGAACCCGGCTCCCTACGCGCCGCTTCCCGATTTGATTTATTTTCCATGGTGAATATAAATGAATTCGAAATGGGTTTTAGTTCTGCGCAGAGGCTGCAACCGCACTCCAAAAATGATCGAAAGCAAATGCCATGTGAAAATAGGAAAATAAATAATTATTGAAAGATTACACACAGAGACCATACAGAGAGACCATACATAGAGCAAGTGGAAGTCCACATGAAGCTCCATATGTTAACTTTTACTTCTAATTAAATCCTCGAAATTCCATATAAAGGTATTTTCTATTTCCATTTCCCACTCTACGAGTAGCTCGATCTCAAACCAGTTTCCCACTCTTGTTCCAGTTGCAGCCCCAAATCGATTTGCTACAATTTCAATTTTCGTTGATTTTCCAAAAAGTGACAATTGGCCAGCGTGATTTTCAATTATTCTCAGGTGAATCGATCCATCAGTCGGCACATGTCAAAGCTGCGAGTTACTTGAGCTCCCAAGCTGCGTTAGTTATTATTGTGGCATCAAGTCCAATTCCCTTTAAGTCAAAGGGCAAGTCTCGTGCCGACTTTTCCAAAACAAACTGCAGCGGCACTTTGTGGATTTTTTCTTCAAATGTAGTGCGGAGTGTGACAAATTGAGCTACATGTTATCTTCAGTTGATTTAATTAGCTTTTGATTTGTTGCGGCATTTTTCGCATCTAATGGAAGTTAAGTTCACAGAATCAAGGATTATTATTATCACTAACACATTATTCATTGTGGCTTTTTGAAATCGAGAAATTTTTGTATTTTTATTTACATAAATTATAAAAAAAAACAATTCTCGTTCCCGTGAAAATGTAAGTTCTTAATTGTAACACATCAAAGATTTCGAACTTGTTTTTTTTTTCAACCAAATACGAGTATCAGAATTTTCCAATATTTATTCGAAAGACTTGAAATACTTCATAATCTTTAGTGGGCGCCGAAAATCAATTTCCAATAACAATTTCTAAGAGACATTAGCTCAATTAACACATCAGACATCTCCATCATCTCTATTGTTATTGTAGCTTTATGATAATTTGCCGTTTTGGATCT